GCCCAGAACGCGCTCAACAGTCTGGACCAGGTCAGCAGGACATGAGACGTCGCGGCTGGCAAATCATGCAACTTTTGCTTTTTCTTCTGTACATGAGAGATGGGAATATTCCAGGGAAAGATGATCATAATAATACAACGAAATAGAGAACACATTAACCTTTTGCTATTCACACTTGCTTTGCTTTGTTAGGGTCTGTCTGTCGGGTGCCATCCAGGAGCTACTTATCTAGAACAGATAGACCCCCCTCGTGCATCGAGACCACGACCACGACTGAGTTCATGCTGCACATACATACAAATGCTGCGGGTTTTACCTATGATTTGCATGGGACGGCGTCCGGACGATAAATGAATGGGCTGGTGGTTGGGGGGTTGGTTCCTTGCAGGATATTGATTGCGATAGTCCGTACAAATCAGTGTGTTTCTACCACTTGCTTACTTACATATATTTCACACATACATAAGTACATGTGGACCACGTGTTCAAGTACGTACTGAGTAAGTAGTATTCGGATGCGGTGAACTACTAGATCATGAGCGCAAGATACTCTCCGAGCCAACCACACACTTCACTCATGGTCGGTCAGGTCAATCAAGGATATCCTGGTTAAGACACAACCCTCAAAGTTCAGGGTGACCTTGGTCAGAACAAACCTTGACGTTGATGTTCAGCCTGTCAGCGCTCGTGGCGTAGACCACGGAGCAAGCCATCTGGTGATTAGAAGTTGCTGGTTGGTAATGGGCGATACTGGTACTGTTTGGTCATGGGTTGGGTAGGTAAAGGCAAGGAGGTTGTTACAGGCGATTTGGGAATTTACCCGACTTTTGACGGTGAGGCTATCAGATTGGAATTGGGGATAACAACTTCAATTTATAATTATTTTTTTTTTTTGTAAGCAATTGAGTTTTGCTTCTGTCTCTAACAAGATGCAGAGAGAGTGTGATAGAGTCATGGTTTCTTCTTTCAATCCCGCGGGACTGTAACTGGCAGGGATTGGGTAGATCATACTAACGGTGTCTACTAACTAGTGGAAGGTGTCACTGTGATGGGAGATCTACTTCCTACTTACCAGGCGGATCCTGAACTAGTGGCCTCGCTTAAAAATGCAAGATGGGAGAGATGTATCACAACGCAATCGAGAACAGAAACTCAAAGATGTGACTTGAAGTTGTATTTAATTTAGTCCTTCCCCCTTAGCCTCGGTTGGCGTTCTCGATGTCATATCGACCCGTCACTGGGGAAATTGCATATTTGTATCGATCCAGCTCCTCGGTGCTCAAGGCAGACAGGCAAACAATAGGCAGACCTTGGATCTCAATATACGGAATTCCCTCAATTTATGAGAAGAATTATATATAGTATGTAGGAAATAAGATGGAAGCAATGTGAGGGCTCAGCTGCAGGGTATGGCAAAAAGTACAGAAATACTGTAGATAGACTGCACATGGACATTGACGGGGAAGAGAGGGAAAAAAGAACAGTTTTCGGTGCCAGTCAGTTGGGAAACGATGGATCGACAGTGAGATGTACTCCTTTTGGGGTTTAGTTTAACACAGTTTAGTTCTCGAGGCAATTGCTGGGAATTGTTCTTTTCTTTTTCTAGTCGGCGATGGTCGGAGTGATTGGCCAGACCAGTTCTAGGCTTGTCTGATAGTCACCGGGAAGCTAATCCTGAAGGAGATTGGGACTTTTTTCCCCCCCCGTGTCTCTCTCTCTATTCTGCTTCTCTGTCTTGGTTCTCGACATTATTCTCTTTCTCTCTCCCTCCCGTTTCTCCTCTTCTCCTCCCCTCTCATCTTTTAGCCCTTCTTCTTCCCTTCCATTCGGCTTCTTCTGGGTTGGGACCCTTGGACAGTGCACTTCCTTTATTCTTTTCTTCCTCATCTTATACCTACTTACTATCTCTATTGAGGTTTTCTTTAATCAGCTTCCCCCGGAGTGTCAACGAATCAGTTTTGGCGCCACGGGTCCAGCCACATCTCTTTGCAACCACTCCTTTTCCTTGGGCTTCTTCCTTCCCCTCCTCCTCTTCTTCCTTCTCCGCCTCTCCTCTTTCTTCCTCTTCTCCTCCTCCCAGTCGTTTGACTCTTGACTTTTCTCTGCCCCTCATCGAAGCTCATCCATTTTCTTTCCTATCCATGTAACTTTCCCCCTAATTCATCTACCTCGACACCATTCCATTTTCTTCCAATCCCCCGACCGGTCCTGATTCTCGGATCCCGACACTGCTAGCCGTCTGCCAACCGCCGTCGGCCTATAATAGTGCCCAGCCCGGAGTTACGTCCACGGTACCCATCCCGCCGGTCCCTGACTTCCTCTTCCACCCCCCGGGAATTAACATATTGCGCTGCAATTTTAAGGCTCCGGCTTCTCCACTCCCCTGGCTGTTTACGATTTCCTCCTTTCGGAGCATCTCTCGTGTTCCGCTTCTTCCCCCCTTTCCCACCGACTCGTGCCCTCCATCTCCCAACCACCTACCCCTCACATCGTACATACACTTGTTGGAGTCTCGGCTTAGGGGGTCTTCGAGACAAACGGTCCAGCACGATTGCTGTTTCTGGTCTGTGCGCTACTGGGATGGCCTGATCGGGGAACAAGACGGGAAGGGCAAAAAAAATATTCACCTAGTGATCATCAGACTCTCTTTAATCATCCTGCACGCACCTTCGCCGCACCACGGGTTCCAGCTGGCCTGGCCTTGACTGAATCTTAATAATTGCTGTTGGAATGGCGGGGACAGCTACCGCGACTTACACGACAGATGTTTGGACGTCACCCAGCGTAGATGGGAGTCAGTGGGAGTACGCTGTCCCGATTCGACAGGATGTAAGTGTGTTACACTCCCGACATACCTTTCTGCGGTGCTCTGATGCATTCGTGCCGATCGTTCGGGCCTTCGCGGGCCAAAAGCCGGACTGGCATGCTAACCTGGGTTTCGGTAGAATACTAAGCATCGCTCCAAATCACGGTCCTCCCACGATTCACACGCCAGGTCCAGGGAGCGTAATTCCAAGGGCTCTCGCAGCTCCTCGCTATCGCGTCACGCCTATGCTCACGAGCACTTGACCTCCCGGGGCCGCCCACAAGCTAGCCACAGCCGACGCGGAAGTGAAGCTGGCAGCTCACGCTCAATCTACGGACACGATGTAGCCAGTCGTAGCGCCGGCAACGTCAAAGACTCGACGGATTCTCTTTATCGAAAGGGGTCGGTGAGGCACGGCGAGTGGCACGAGGGAATGGGCATGTATACGGACGAGATCGATCAGGACAATTGGATCCATCGCGACAAGCTGGCCAAGATTGAGAGTGAGGAGCTGCAGCAGGCCGCCATTCTGCTACAACGTCGGGCGGGTGAAGGCAACAAGACGCGCACAAAGAACTACGACTCGTATGGAACACCTGCCAGCTCCCCACCGACCGAGCAACTGGAACCCTGGCCCAGTTTGCACGGCGATTCCCAGCTCCGGGAACATAGCGGGTCTCCAACCTTCCCAGAAGAAGGTGAAGAGCGTGGAAGGTGGGATTCTCGTCGACAGGAAGAGGGTATGGCCAATGGAGCGGCCGGCTTCTACCGCAACCCCGGACTTCGCAAAAGCTCGTCGCGGATACCCATTCCCTCGGGTATCCCAGTACCGGTCTCTCCCAATCCCGAGAACGGCGGACGGGAATTCTCCAAGCAGCGCAGCCGCGCGAATACCCATGGGGATGACGATGCTTTGTCCTTCGGGATGCCCCGTCGGGCTAGTGAGCCGATGTCGGTGGACTCTGCCCAGAATATTACTCCGGCAGGAAGTCGGCCTGGCAGTCGCGGGAACACCCTACAAAATGCGGCCGGTAGGAAGACCACCAAGGGCGGTGCTACCAATCGCAAGACGTCGGCTCCTCCGTCGACTGCACGAAAGGCGACCCCGAGAAGCCGGGCACCGTCGAGCACGTTGCGGGCCACTAAAGCCGCTGAGAATCGTCCCATTAACCGGCCGGAAGGCGACCCTCCGTGGTTGGCGACGATGTACAAGCCCGATCCACGTCTTCCGCCTGACCAGCAGATTCTTCCCACACATGCACGACGCATGCAGCAGGAGCAGTGGGAGAAGGAAGGCAAGACGCCTACCACGTATGATCGGGAGTTTGCTCCGCTAGCCATCGGGCCGGACGGGCCAAAGCCCTCTGAGAAGCCGGCACCCAAGGAAGAGGAGCCGGAGCCGGAGCCGATCGAACAGAACGAAAAGGTGGAGAAAGAAGAAGTTCAAGAGCAGAAGACCCCGAACTTGGAGACACCGTCCAAGGAGTCGGGACGGCCGAACTCAGGCACGGGCTACAGCACGATGCCGCGGGTACATGAACCACCACAGGCGGCGCTGCAGCCAAAATGGAGCCCGCCAGTGGTGACTGCGCAGGAACCGCCGCCGAAGGAGAAGGGCTGCGGATGCTGCATCGTGATGTAGGGGGAGGACGCATTCGTTGAGTGGCATATGTCCGTCATTTAAGATACCTATTTCCTGCATTGTGGATTTGTTTTTTTCAGCGAGCTGGGTGGTGTTTGATCTGACTAGGATTTTAATAGCTATCCACCTTTTACTTCTTGTCGTTCCTTGGAGACATTTTACTCTCATTTGATTCCCTATCTGTTGATTCCAGTGTTTGTGCACTTGCATTGAGCGGTCATTACGACATCACGCGTCTTTCCTTGAACATGCATTGATTTTCTTTGTGCATATCGTTATAGACAAAGTTCACAATTATATTAAATATTTATTGCAATTACTAGTATACAACAACATATACATAGTTAAAGTGACCGTTCTAGAACCCCCCATAGGTTATAACCCGTCATTAATAAGCCACCCCCAGCACCCCTCATTACATAATCACCCTAGCGCACCTTGCGTAATCCGACCATCCGCTCTCCTCATTCCATCATTCATCCATTCATTCATTAATTTATTCCATCCTATCTGATCGATTCCATCATCCCGCTGAAACCTTGATTAAACCCATTCCACCCAATCTTATAAATAACCCCACTTCCCCCTCCCCCCTCTCTTCTCTTCTCTTCTCTTCTTTTTAGATTAGACTACCAGTCAATACCGCCACCATTTCCTCCATCTTCACTCGTCTCTTCGGCTCTTTTGCCGCTCCTTCTCCCACCATGTCCGCCGCTGCTAAGACTAAGGCCCAGACCTTGATTAATGAGAATGGCGTTGGTAGGTTACCCCCCATTCCCAGCATTGATATATTATATTGTGTCATACATAGTGGAGAAACCAATTTGCTAATATATAAATCCCATCGGGAATGGTACAGTCGTCTTCTCCAAATCCTACTGCCCCTACTGCCAAGCAAGCAAGAACTTGCTGAATGAGCTCGGCGCGAAGTACACTGCTCTTGAGTTGGATCAGCTGCGTAAGACACCCCCCCTTTCTTCTATTTAGGTGTGATGTGTGTATGGTATTAAGGGCCATGCTAATATAATATAATATGGGTTCTAGCCGACGGAGCCGACCTCCAGGACGCCCTCCAGGAAATCTCCAACCAGCGCACCGTCCCCAACATCTTCATTAGCCAGAAGCACATTGGTGGAAACTCGGACTTGCAGAGCAAGAAGGGTGCCGAGCTGAAGGGGTTGTTGGAGGCTGCTGGTGCTTTGTAGATTTTCCATCCCATCTATGATTTTGTCTGCGAAGCAGTGATAGGGGGAGTAATGATAGATAATTGATTGATCAGATCGGATCAGATCATATATAATACATACATACACTACATATCCAAACACCAAAACTAATGTAGGGAGAGAGAGACAGAGAGAGAGACAGAGAGAGAAATTATACAGTCCCAACCGGCCTCTCAACAACGCCCATAATCCCATCCACCACACTGCGTCTCGCCCCCTCACTCGAGACATTCTTCCCCGCCAAATAATTCAACCACACCAACCGACTAACCCTCTCATCCTTGACTCTACCCAAATACCTATCCGGCAGCGCATCCTTCCCATCACCACCACCCTGAACCAACACATCCAACTGCCCCTTCTTGCCCCTCGCCAACACCAACACCTGTCCCTTGGGCACACTCTTCCTCTGTCCACCTCCAAACAATCCCTTAAACTCCCCCATAGCCTGACCAAACTCCTCGCCCTCAAATTCCCCCTTACCACCACCACCCTCAACCTTATTATACCTCTGCGCCCTACCCGTAATCCCCCTCACCCACCCATCCCTCAAATGCAAGAAATCCGTATTCCGCGTCGGCACGACCCGAAACGCCGTCCTCAACCCATCCTTCTTCAACAACATATCCCACGCCTGCTCCCCCTTCTCCGCATCCAACAACAACTCCCTCAACTTCTCCCTCTCCATCGACACCAACGACGTCGCAGCCGTAGCCCCCACCTCATTATCAATCACCGACTCCGTCCCCTCCCCGGGAGGATGCACCGCCGTGCGCACCAGTCGTGATTGCAGCTCCGCCAAGTCCTCCTTCGCAACATACAATCCCACAACGTACACCTGGAAATTGAGGAACGAGACCGTCCGAATACCCAGTCCTAGGAGATGGTATTCCTCCTCCTCACCCTGCGAAGCAGGAGACAAATCCGTCGCGGACGCAGGAGTACTATTATCCTCACTCTCCAACCACTTCGGCAGATGAATCACCGCCGGGAAATGCGGGATCGAGCTCGTTCCTGTCTCCACTTGGTCGGGGTTTCCGCTGGCGGATTGGATGTGCGTTAGCGTGGGCTTTGTCGGGAAGCCCGTGCTGGGACCGTCGAGTTTGGTGCTGCCGTTGTCGGTGGTGTTTTCGATTTCGACTCCGTCGGTGGTGGTGGTTTGTTCCAAACCGAATACGTCCGCTTTGATCACCCCGTACATTCCGACCGCGCATACGATCATCCCTGTCGCGGAGATGTACATCGAGCGTTTGCTCCGCGCGATGTCTTGTTCGCGGCTGCGGGGCGCGCGGGCGGCGCTGCGGAGGGGGTTGCTGGCTGTGGTGCTGGTGGTGCTGGAGCGGAGGGTGCGGGTTGTGCTGTAGAGGCGAGTTTTGGGGAGGTTGGTGGAGGCGTGGAGGTGTTGGGCGCAGGTGCGCCATTGGGCGCGGGCGGCGCGGAGGGAAGGGGGTATCGGTGGCATCTTGTTTGTTTGTGTGTGTTGTGTTGGTTGACTTGGTTTGGGTTTGGAGATGGATGTAAAGTCTGGAGTATGGGGATGCGGTGGTGGAAGTGAGCGGATCGGATGATTATTGACACGTGATTAGAGCTGCCCTGATTGGACGGTTGAGGTAGTATATAGCATTTGGTGGGCATTGAGGTGGATTGAAGGTTACTATGCTATTTAATATCCTAGTATAAGTACTGTGTAAATGATAATGTAGTTACTGCTATTGCTACTGCTACTGCACCACCACCTTGTACATTCCGCCTCCGCTGACCGTCACTGTCGCCGTCGCGTTGGCATACTGTACCCCCCGGGTGATCTCCGTCCCGTCGATCTTGATAGATGGCTTCGCTGTGCCGACGAACGGCAGCGTCAGGTTTCCCTGGGTCCCGTGCGGAACTGTAAAGTCGAGCGTGTATCCCTTGTCTGTCTTTGACCATCCAGCCTGGAACTTTCCAAGCGAGGTCGTGAACCCACCCTCGGCGGACTGCAGATCGACAAACTGCGGGGCGATGCGCCAGGTCGCCCCCAGTGGAGATGTGACAGTGATCCCCACGATGTAGTTCGTCAGCGCCGACGTCGGTCCTGATGACCAGCCGTGCGAATGTGACACATATGCGGTGTCATAGTAGTACCCGCGGTTACCGCGGTACCCGAACGTGCCGTTCTGTAGATAGCCTTCGATGACCGTGCTCTGTGTGCCGTTCGCGTTGTTGTAGTACCATCCCCAGCTGCGGCGGATTAGCTCCAGTGCTCGTTGTGGCTGTCCCACGGTCAGATGGCCCTGGATCTCGAACGAGGAGATGAACGGAGAGATGTTCTCTGGCAGTTCGGGCGCCACGGCTCCAATCGGGGTCCAGTTGTCTGTTAGTCTTTCAGAAATGCTGGCGGCCCGGTCCGCATCCACGACCCCGAAGAGCAGGGCCATGCTGTTTGCGTCCTGAGGGTGCAGGGTGGTGTCGGTGGCGTTGTCTTTGAATGCGCCGTACGATTCGTCCCAGCAGTATTCGTTGATGGCTTGACGCAGCTTCTCGGCTCGGCTAGTCCAGGTGCTGGATAGGTCGCCTGAATCTCCGGCCCAGGTGGCGAGCTCTGCGCCTGTGTTGAGGGTGTGATACAAGCTGGGACTGTTAGAAGGTAATGAGTGCATGATTAGGGCATTGCTCACATCATCTGCGCCTCGGAGTTGTTGTATCCCTGCTGCCATCTGGCCCAGTCGCGCGTGCCCGTGACGTTCAGCAAGCCGCTGGGATAAGTCACCTTGCCGTAGATATAATCCATCGCCTTCTGATAACCCTCCCAGTTTTGCTCGAGGAAATCGCTGTCGTTGGTATAGAGCATGTAGTTGTAGGTCCCGACCATCGTCCACATGTGATACGTGTCCGAGTCTTTTTGGCTCAGCGGCGGGCCAGACTCGTCGAATGCACCTGTCGAATTGTTCTGCATAGCGTTAGTACCTGAGAAATAGCACCATTGCAATGGTGTGATTTTACCTGAGTGTCGTACATAACCTGCAGCGCATTCTTGACACTGTCCAAGTCGCCCAAACTCACAAACGCCGAAGGCACAGCAATCCCCATGTCACCCGGCCATACCGCACGGTCACGCTTCGCTCCGTCGACAATGATCGTATCACCAGGTCCAAGGGTGCAATTGTTCGCCCAGCCTTCAGCCATCGCTGGGATCTGACGCCCCGTGTCGGTCGGCACCTCGTTCGTCTGCAGAGTGTAGGCCCCAGTGTACCAGATCTTGTTGAGCAAGTCGTCATTGGAGTGGAAGTACCCTTGGTAGGCCTTCAAATTGGACCAGGTAGGCTGAAAGCCGATCTCCAAGCTCACATCCTCGATGTGAATGGTGGAGTTGTCGCTGGTGATCAGGAAAAGAGTCAGATAGCGAAATCCACCCCGCAAGCTCTTATCCGGCATCACATAGTAGTGGCTTCCGGCTTCGGTGAAATTACCGTAGAGTGCACCATCAGGGCCTTTGAAGCCTCCATTTGACGAGTCCGACCACTCTCCGATATAGTTCTTCGCTTCGGTGAAGGCCACACCTAGTGAACCAATGCCTGTGGAGCTGAAGTTTACAGAAACAATGCCGCCAACCTCTTTTCCAAAGTCATAAACCACCAATGACCCGTTGCCATGAAGTGCAAATGGGGTATAGTCTTCCGTCTTATCCGGTTGCGTAATGAGAAAGAGCTTCTCTGGGTTCAGAGTTCTCGACGATGGTGCGAAAATATTCTTCTCCCACGGCCCGGAGAAAGCGCTGTCGGTCGGACCAGAGCAAGTGGTGTTGCGCCAACAGCTTTGAGCAACTGAGAGAGGAAGTAGAGCGAGCACGCCCGACAAGAGCCTGTGGCAGCGCATGGTTGCTGTCTTGTCTGTTCCGCAGACTGCAGCACCAATTACCACACCGAGCAACATCCATTCTCCACCAGACACGCGGGTTCATATAAACGTCTCGGCTCGAGATAATGTTCCCCCGGGCTTTTGCCCAGAAAGCGAAGAGGGGTCACTAGCTTCGAAGGATTAATATCGCTGGCGTGCTCGTGCGGGACGGATCGATTGGCTTAACGGGCCAGTCTGGGGTGAATTAGTCAGGTCGGTCTCGGCTGAATGGCGGATTGAATCAATCAAATATAAGCAAACAGGCAAGCTTTCTCACACGTTCAGGGGTGCGGCGTTGGTTGGCTGTGCAGCAGTAGGCTAGTGGGATTGCCGGCGTTATTGGTGGAATTTCCTACAGAGAGCCCGTCGATCGTGCATAAAGGCGTCATTCGAATGCCAATGCATGGAGTTCTCCCCGGGTTTTCTCCGCACAGGGAAATTGGTGATATTAGTGGGATTTGTAGTTCGGTAGAAGTAGCACCGAAGTCTCATCTGATCGTCCATCACCTCTAATGGAAGCCCCGGTCAGCATTCAATAAAGGAACCAATGCTCCCAGACACTTACAGCGCGCATCACCCGCGTCCATAATGCAGCTAACAGCTTCGGTTTCGCTCTTGCTCCTGGGGCTGGCCTCCGTTGGCCATGCAGGAAATGTGGAAAACAACCACAATGTCTGCACCGTGCGAGCAAACGGGGGCCATCGTGACGACGTCCCCAATATTATGGCGGCGTTCGAAGAGTGTGGCAATGGAGGTACCATCATTTTCCCCGAAGACCAATCCTACTGGATTGCGACAAGACTGCATCCAACATTGAAGGATGTGGCAATCGAATGGCGGGGAAAGTGGACAGTAAGACTTCCTCAGTGTCCATCTCGTGACCTGTGAAACACTGATTCGGTCCAGTTTTCCGACAATCTCACCTACTGGCGTAACAACTCCTACCCAGTTGCGTTCCAAAACCACCATGCGGGCTTCATTATTAGCGGCGACAACATCACCATCAATGGCTATGGCACCGGCGGCATCGACGGCAATGGAAATACTTGGTACACAGCTGAGAAGGGCGACACACAGCCGGGGCGTCCGATGCCCTTTGTATTCTGGAACGTGTCTGAAGTGATTGTTGACAGCTTCTACGTCAAGGATCCGCCCCTATGGAGTATCAACATCATGAACGGGACTAATATGCGCTTCAACAACATCTACTGCAATGCCACGGCTGTGGATGCCCCGTGGGGTGACAATTGGGTGCAGAATACGGATGGTTTCGGTATGTTTTTCCATCCTTATTAGTGACTTGTACTAGGACTGACTAGTGTCGTGTATTCAGATACTATGGATGCTGTCAACATCCAGCTCACCAACTTTGTTTACCAAGGTGGAGATGACTGCATCGCTATCAAGCCTCGCTCCTATAATATCGACATTCAGAATGTCACCTGCCGTGGTGGCAACGGCATCGCCATTGGCAGCCTGGGTCAATATTTGGAAGATAGCAGCGTAGCTAACATCCGCGTGGACAAGGTCAATGTACGTGATGTTTTCCCCGCCACCATCATCAGTAG